AAGAATATTTCCTTATATTATCGCATTTATCCTCAAGAACCCATCTGACTTTTACTGATGAGGAAACTGGGGCTCAGCAAAGTCAAGGCTCACAGTGGTGAAAGGATTTCAACCCAGGTCTGTCTTAAATCCCAGAGATGTTGGGGAACACAGCAGCTGAATTCACACCTTGAGAAGTGTGAAAGTGAAGAGTGCTGGAGGCTAGAAAAAGTCATGTTATGCGTATTACTGAGCCCTTCTAGAATGCTAGTGTGTTCTAGATGGTTTATGATGATCCACTCTCCCCACTCCCCATTCTCTCTGAAATGTTAGTTACTTTGGTTAAAAGATATAACCAAGAGAAAGTCATGTTATGCGTATTACTGAGCCCTTCTAGAATGCTAGTGTGTTCTAGATGGTTTATGATGATCCACCCTCCCCACTCCCCATTCTCTCTGAAATGTTAGTTACTTTGGTTAAAAGATATAACCAATATACTTGAATGAGACTCTACTAGGTGCAATAGTGGCAGAGAAGTATGATTTTGTATACATCGTATTGAAACCTGTTTTTGTTTATTAAAAGGAAAAATATTACACATAAGAAAAATGACTGGTTGTTTCAGAATAAGAAAGAGAACAGTGAAGCTCAAATCTGAATGGATAAATTTGTAGGTCTGTAGAAAGAAAATTTGATTTGTCTTAGATTATAGTACATGCAAACAATAAGTCTGAAAATAAGAAATTAAATGCGTTAAAATTTTGCCAAAGTTGGCAAAATCTTGATGAGTTTGAATATTTAATTTAAAAAGAGGGAGGGCTCCTGGAAAACCACAAAGATTTGTTCTTTCGTCTTTTAAAAAGAGAGGTGCTAGAAATAATTAGATTTATTTAATATGTTAATATCGATCAATTGCTTAGAAATAATTGTCAAGTCAGAAGAGATGCTCAGCCTTCTCTAGGTTAAATCTATATTGGTAAAATATTATTATTTATCTAAATATTTGAGAAATTATATGCTATATGAGAGTTGTGCAGATTTCTCAATGCCCTCTCTGTACATGACATGTTTCTATTTATCAGCACCCTGATGGTGCCTTCCCTGATGACAACAGTATATATGTGTTACTAGTCACGATTTCAATTATTATTTAAAATGTTACTGGAGGCTGGGCACAGTGGCTCACGCCTGCAATCCTGGCACTTTGGGAGGATGAGGTGGGAAGATAAGGTAGGAGGATGGCTTTAGGCCAGGAGTTTGAGACCAGCCTGGGCGACATAGCCAGACCCTGTCTCTACAAAAATAAAAAACTTAGCTGGGTGTGGTGGTGCATGCCTGTAGTCCCAGCTACTTAGGAGGCTGAGGCAAGAGGATCCCTTGAGCCCAGGAGTTTGAGGCTGCAGCGAGCTATGATTGTGCCACTGTACTACAATCTGGGTGACAGGGCAAGACTCTGTCTCGAAAAAATAAAATAAAATAAAATAATAAAATAAGTTACTGGGCTGCAACTTTCCTTCTTTAATTTAAATCTAGCATCTTCCAGGCCACTGGTTTTCAACTGGAGTTGTACATCAGCCTTTCCTATGCAGTTTTATTAAAATACAGATGTTTAGGACTTACCTCAAGCTCACTGAGTATCTTCAGTCGATATTCTTGGCATTTTATGTAAATTATATCTCAGAAATTTTATCTATTATAAGATTTTTTTCTCTGTAAAAGTCATGTTCATTTTTATAAATTAATATCATGTTCATTGTGTTTTTTGAAATTAGCCTTATATTTTTAGACATTGTCTAGATTTTTTTGTTGTTTGGATTAGCATCTTTTTGTTTTGCACACCACAGAAGCAACCAAATTTCCTTGTCAGTTGCATTATTCTTGTCATGAATTCTTATCAGATCATTCATTCTTGAAAATTATCAGTAATAAGTTAATCAACACTTTTTAAGTCTCTGTCACCTACAGATAGTTTTTATTTTATTCTGATGCTTCTTAAGGGCTCTGTATTCAGTTATAGAATAGAGGGGGAGTTTTTGTTTTTTGTTTTTTAAGAGATGGGATCTCGTTGTGTTGCCCAGACTGGAGTGCACTGGCTATTCACAGGCATGATCATGATGCACTACAGTCCCACACTATTGGGCTCAAGGGACCCTCCCACCTCAGCCTCAGGAGTAGCTGGGACTGTAAGCATGCCACTGGGCCTGGCAGGCCAGAGTTTTTGTTTTTAACAACCGAGAACTGTCTCAGAAAAGCACTGTACTGAGTAATTGCTCTCGGGCATAGGCTTCTGATGGCACCACTTAGACAACATTAAGAACGTACTAGTGGACTGAGTCAGGAGTTCCAGAACTCTTTAGTCAAGGAGCAGATAAGTTTTTGAGATTGCTAACCCAAGATTCAGCGGAACAGAATTAATCACACTGGACCGCATGAACTGGTGATGGATGACTGTCTTCTAGGTTCAGAATATTGTTGATGTTGTTATAGTGTTCTATCTTCTGGACATATAAGGAAGACCTTTCTCTTTCTTCTTAGGCTATATTAACCCATAACAACTTAGTAGATTCTGCTTTCATAAACTGAAATGAAACACTTATAAATATATTTTTCTCCCTACCTGACTCCTCAGAATTCAGAAACTCTCATGGAATCTTCTTGCTTTTCATGGCAATATGGTTATTTGCACGGGTTGAGTAAGTTTTGTTTTTTTTTTTTAAACCAGTACATAATTAGAAAAATTGGTTGTTCAACCAAGACCTTGCCTGGATGTTGTATTTGATCAGGATGTCTATTTAATCAGATACAACCAGCCTCCTTTAAAAACTGAGGTTCACTCTATGGAGCCAATACTAAGAAAACCCTCCCAAGAAAACGGGCTTACTGGGTTTCCAGGTTTACAAGCCAAAAGGAAGGTCACTCCCTGACTAGCCCAGAAACTTTAGGATATTTTGGGGACCCTGAGAAGAGGAATTTGCCCAAATATATCAGTACAGTAGGTAAAACCTGGTGGAGACAGTTTCTCGACTCGGCTTCTAACGTCAGGACAATAAATAATTAAAGGCTTTAAAAAATCGAATCTAGGATTCCTTATGAAAACTTTCAGTCAAGTTTATTAACTTAACAAGGGCTATAGGGTAAAACACACTTGTAGTACCTATGTACATAATCAAGTCAAATTCAATGAGACCAGCTTTATTTTGTGATCAAGAATACTCTTTCTAGGAAATTTTTAAAAAATCAAAACAGGAGAGACTGTAGAAAAACAATGTATGTCCGTGGAAAACTATGCCTTGTCTAGCGGATAGTCCTCCAGGTTATCAGATTCCAGCTTTTAATTGACCTTGAGCTATTATAAAACTCTTTGAAGTGGTAGGTAACTGAGAAGTCACACAAAATATACCTGTGAAGATTATTTCAGTAGTCTTCCCTCACAACCTGTAGAAGACCAGTTTGGTCTCAATATTCCTAACCTATATATGAATATATTCTTTAGATTCTCTTTTTGAAATTGTAAAATATACATAATGTAAATTTTGCCATTCTAACCATTTTCAGTCTACATTTAGGTGGCATTAAGTATGTTCACATTGTCTCTCAACCATTACCATCATCCATTTCCTGAACTTGATCATGTTCCCAAACTGAAACTCCATACCCATTAAACAATAATTCCCCAATCCCCCTCTCTAAATTCTCTTTTGAACCGAAATCTTTAACATGGGTTCATTTTTATGTCTTTGTGAGAGTCAGAATTTTAACCTTTTTCTGAAAAATAACTTTTAACAGTCTCCAACACAAAAAACACTAGGTAGATAATCTAAATTAGTGAAGAAGGCTAGAATTGATGAGAGCTCTCAACAATTAAAAAATGTGTAGGGTAGCCAATTGTCTCGTTTCGCCCAGGATTGAGAGGGTTGCCGACAAAAGACTGTTTCAAAACCAGGACAAATTGGCCATTTTAATAGCATCTGCCGTATCTAAAGGGGACTCCTCAATCCTGTTCATTTAATTTGGAAATTTAGGCCCGGTATTGCCACATCATCCATTTTTCTTTTCTTTCCTTTTTTTACTTATAGAGACAGGGAGGGGTGTGACGGGGGAACCGGGGTGGCGGGGTGGTGGTGGTCTGGCGATGTTGGCCAGGCTGGTCTCAAACTCCTGGCCTCCTTCAATTCTCCCATCTTGGCCTCCCAAAGTGGTGGGATTACAAAGATGAGCCACCATGCCCGGTCCACATCGTCTGTTTTTCAAGAGAAGTCTGGAATCTAGCTATTTTTGTTAAATTTTATTTGTAAATAATGGTAACTAACACAATATTTTAAAAACTGTGCAGACCAAACGGACTGCTCCAGTGGCTGACTGCCTCTAAGAAAGAGTGGCTGAAACCCCTCCACCCCACCTTGCAGCCCAACATGTGGTCCCTGCGGTCAGGAAGAGAATCACTGTGAAGCCCCTCGCCCATTGCTGAGGGGCTGCCCTGCTCTGCTCTGAGAGCTGTGCCCTTTCCAGGCGCTGAAAGGCCTCGAGACGAGCTCCCAGGACCACTGAGTTCTGGCCTTGGCGTTCGAAGGCTAAAGGAGACCAAGAGGGACACTCACAAACCCCAGGGGCCACCCCTTTCCTCTACCATCCCCTGGTCTCGGTTCCCCAGCCTGCGAGCCCAGGTTCCCCAGCTGCTCAACTACAGAAAGGCGCTCTGAAAGCGCCCTGGGTGTGTGTTAGGAGGGGAGGATGGAAACGGGAAACGCTGGAGACCCTCCCCGGCAGCCTGTTCTTCACCAGTGTCACAGAGTCAGCGTCGCGGGGTCTGGGGGAGGGCGGGCGGAGTTAGGCAGGGAGGGTTATCAACCTCCGAGGTGGGCGCCGCTGGAGGAGCCCGCGACCAAGTCCCGCCAGCACCCCTGGCCCTGGCCAAGCGACGCCAGGGCCGATCTGGGGGTGATCTCCGAGGCCCCTCGCGGCCCCCCGCAAGCCCCGAGCCCGGGAGGTCCTGGTGCGCCTCCCTCCCCTGCCCCGCTCACCAGCTGTCCCTGGAGAAGGCGCGGAAGAACCAGACTCCCGGAGCCAGAGAGGACCGCATTTTGCCCGACCGGTACCCAAGGCTGAGTCGACGGAGGCGGCTACGGAGCTGGGCGCGTGTCCCGGGCGGGACTGGCTGTCAGCGGGGTTTAAATGCCCCGCCGGCCGGCCCGCCCTGACCCCGCGGCCGGAGTACGGCAGCGCCCGCCCCCTTGCGCCTGACCGCCCTCGGGGTTGGGTCCAGCGCAAACCTGCCGGTCATCCCTAGTCCGGCCGCTGGCACCACAGCGCTCCGGTGCTTTGCTTCCTGGCCACGGCCCGACAGCTCTGAAGTGCTGGGGCTCCCCTTTCCGCCCTGCGCTCTCTACCTCACCGCCCGCCGGGGAACCGAAAGCAGCAATCTGGTCGCTGTCCGGTGTGACGTGCCTGCCTGCCCGCACTACCCCGCAGCGCTTCCTGTCCTGAAAAGCCGTGGGCTCCGACACGAGTGGGACACGAGATGCTGGAGGGCTGGAAGTCACACTCAGCGGCCCCGCATGACACTAATCTCAGTACTCGCACCTTCTGGGAGCGCAGGAGTTTTTTTCGTGGGCGGGCGCGGGGGGGCGACAATATTTGGCCCAAACACAGCACAGGTTCAGGCTGGGGCTTCCTGCCCTGCTCATATTCCACAGGACCCCACTCTTCCCCCACTTCATAGACACTAGCCCTCACGCGCTCCCGCCATGACAATGTGGCAGTCACTCCTGCTCTGCCTTCTGGAGGCAAGCAGCCACCAGGCAGACTTCTGTGGTCCTGAAATGCCTCTAAACTGAAGATTTCAGGGTATGTTTCCACTGATAATTGTGAGATCTTGTATATGAACCCAAGGGTGAACTACAAAGGACTGCAAAGGGAAGTAAGTATTCCCCTGAGGAATAAAGTTAATAGAACATAAAATAGGAGTGTCTGAGCAAATGGGTTTCAGCCCTAACCCCACCCTGCCCCTAATTCCTAGGAGTGCCCAGGCCCTATGCGCAAGGTCAGAGAAGTGGAGTAACAACTCCACCAAACAGATTAGGACCCAGAATAATGGGCTTGGCTGGTCCCAGCCCTAGAATCATGAAAAAGAGGGTAAGCAGAGTTGTAAAAGCCTCTGTTAATCCCAGGCAGTCAGGGGCATAGGTCTAGTGGCAGAAATGAAGACGGTAACACGCCAACGACAAAAGGTAAAGGAATAGAGAAAAGAAGAAAGGCAGTAAGTAGAAAGGAGGCCCAAATAAGGTGCAGAGGCTTGAAACACCAAAGGACCAGTGTCATTAGCGGCGATTCACTGAATCAAACCTGATTAGACCACTCACTGTGCCTGGGGGTATGTTCATTTCACTCTTACAGGTCAGTTGGGTGGCTATTATCCAGCTAGGTGAGGTGACTCTATGTCTTGGTTTGCCTGGGACAATCCCAGGAGACACCTGCTGTCCCAGAATCTAGGATGGACCCACTCTAGCGTCAATAATCACAAGCACCCCAGGTTAAGGTGCTCCTTTAAGGGGTGGCAAATACACTAGAGGAATGAGCTGATATCCCCAGGAAGGGAATTATTTCTCCGCTGCTTATTTCTGAGGGACTAAAGGGAAGGATAAAATTGGAATCCAGCTGAGCCAAGCAAGCAGCTGAAGTTCCTTGATGCTACATTTCAGGAGTAGGTGGACATCACCAGAGGAGTGGAAGAGACCATCTCCAGAGCTTCAGAGGTGCTGTCCAGACTTCAGCAGTGTGGAACATCTGTCTTTCCATTTCGGACAGACAGAAGCCAAGAATAAGGGTCACTCCTGCTCATTTGTCAGGAAGCTGTGTTCCTGCCTCACAGGAGACCATGCTTGTCTGAGGCTGGACTCTCAGAAAGGCATTAGGAATATGCCCTCATGGTAGTACGGCTATTGTTCACAGTGCACCAAGTAGCTGGGAGCAGGGCCGGTCCTGAAACAGACTTTGCCTTGTCACAGTTACTTCCTGTGAATTCCAGCCAAGTATCCCTGTTCAGGGGCCAGGGTGGCAGTGGGAACACTCCTACCAATGATGGAACTCTTTCCTGCTCGCTCCTGTTGGTGAGCTGGCCGATCTCTTTGCTTCCTACTGCTTGGGGGAGTGGCAAAGAGGGATATTGTGCCTCAGGGAGTGCCTTCACTCACCTACACAACCTCACCACTCTTGACTCACCTTCTTGTTATTATCAGGTCCCCCTCCCACAACCACCTCCTCAAACCCTGCAGATTGTGGACAGGATCTGAAGGAAATAAAGAGGGAGGGGAGGAGCTACTGAATCAAACGCTAAAGGAAAAGATCCTCAGTTCTTATATGGATAGCCTTATACTCTGTCAAAAATGCTTCCTATGGTTCAGTATGAGACACTGGTGAGAAAGAAGCCATTTTACCCATCAAATACCAGTCCCTACTGCTAGCAAGTTCCATGACCACCTACAGGACTGTTGGGGTAGCCAGTTGGTGTTTTATGCCCTTTAAGACACAACAACAAGTGTCTTCCCTGTTTTTTTCAAAGAGACAGAAGGATCCAAATGCTTAAGTCTATGAGGACAAATGCCATGAGAATAGGCCACTAGGTAACAGAACTCCAAAATTTTATCCCATCCACAAGCATCAGTTTTTGAACATATTTGCCTCCTTCCACTTCTGTCTTACTAAACAGAGAAAAGCACATTTTTTCGTAATACAATCAAGACCCAGAGTCTTGATCAAGGGGGTAAGAATTGGGATATTAGGATAAATTGTAATTATTCAATCTTTTAAATATTCAATTTCATATTAGGCCCTTTTATTGAGAGGCAGAGTGGTGCAGTAAAAAGAACATTGGCTTGGAGTTAGAACCAAGTCTGGTCAAGATACTTACTACTTCACTAAGCCTCAGTTCCCTCCTCTGTAAAATGTGTGTAACAGCACCTACCTTACAGAGTGCTGTAAGAATCAAACATTCGTGCATATAAAAAGTGTAACAGTGCCTGGCCACATTAAGTAGGTTTGGCAAATGGAGCAATTACGTGTGCAGGAGCTAATATATTGGTATTAGGGTCAGATATTGACTGCAGCTGACAGAAACCAATGACTGTCATAAATGAGAACAAAATACAGGGGTTAAAGGATCAAAATTCTTAAAAAGGATCAATGGGTATAAGAAAATAAATTTTTGACCTGCAAAATCCTTAATATCGTGTGCTTGTGTGTGTATCTGTGTATGTGTGTATATATATACAACTTAACCCACTGAGTTATTGTAAGCTTTGTGGTAATACATGTTGAATAATTTGGGGTTGACAAGGATGAGTGTATGGCTTGAGTAGAGTGTCATAAAAATGAAAGAATTTATTGTCTTAAATATGTTGGATGCTGAAATCTCACTAAGAATTACTACTAAATTCTTCCCGGCTAACACAGTCAAAAGATAGATAAGCAAGGTGACTAAAGGTATTAAAAAATATTTTATTTCTCAATAGAAGTCAAACTTCTGGAATGCTTAGCAAAGAACATTCCAGCCCTTATATAACTGGCCAAAAGTAGGGGCTTCAGTGTACTGAAGACTAGATTGATGGTTCATAATGGCCTGAAGAATGGGCTTTGGAGACCTATCAGTCCACTGACAGGGCAGCCCTGCTTTCAAATGGTCAACCTCCTTAGGATACCAGTAGTGACAGCAGGTATATACAAAGACAGCCTGACAGCCAGTAGTCTTTAGGAAGAGAAGAGAAGGATGGAGAAATTGTTAAATTATTATTTCCCAAAGTCACCTTGTTTAGAGGAAAAATTAAAAGGAATATATGGTAATGACAAAAGTGAGGTAGTCTCAGCCTGGTCACACAGCTGGGGACAGTTTTTAGTTGTTCTAGTATCTGAAAGTAACCATTCACTTACTTGCTTAATAAACATTTGTTGTCTGTAATCCCAGCACTTTGGGAGGCCCAAGTGGGAGGATCACCTGAGGTCAGGAGTTCAAAACCAGCCTGGCCAACAAGATGAAACCCCGTCTCTTCTGAAAATACAAAAATTAGCCAGGCGTGCTGGCACGCGCCTGTAATCCCAGCTACTCGGGAGGCTGAGGCAGCCGAGTCACTTGAACCCAGGAGGTAGAGGTTTCAATGAGCTGAGATCGTGCCACTGCACTCCAGCCTGGGAGACACAGCAAGAGTCCGTCTCAATAAATAAATAAATAAATAGCATTTGTTAAGTGACAACTATGTGCCAAGCACAGTGCTATGTGCTGAGGATACGTTAATGAAAAAGACAGGCCGGGCACAGTGGCTCACGCCTGTAATCCCAGGACTTTGGGAGGTCGAGGTGGGCGGATCACCAGGTCAACAGATTGAGACCATCCTGACTAACACTGTGAAACTCCGTCTCTACTAAAAAAAAAATACAAAAAAGAAAATTAGCTGGGCGTGGTGGTGGGCGCCTGTAGTCCCAGCTACTCAGGAGGCTGAGGCAGGAGAATGGCGTGAAGCTGGAGGGGCGGAGCTTGCAGTGAGCCAAGATCAAGCCACTGCACTCCAGCCTGGGCAACAGAGCAAGACTCCGTCTCAAAAAAAAAGTCAGACATAGTCCCTAATCCCAAAGAATTTACAGTCAAATGGGGCAGAGATGTATAGAGATAATCCCACTTCAAACAACTTGGCAGAAGAGATCAACTCAAACAAGAAATACGTTATATAAAGAAGAAAATGTTCATATGGTGGCACTGATCAAATAACTCTGGGAGACTCTCAGAAGGCTTACTGTAGACAATATAAGAACTAGGTTTGAAGAATAGCTAAGTGCATACCAAGCGAAGAGGAAAAAGGTTGAACCGGAAAATTGCATGTGCAAAACAAGGAATCATGAAAAAGCACGGTACATTGAAGAAATGGTGCATGAGACATTCTTTGTAGCTGGTGAGTATGTGTGCAAGGTGGGGAGCTGCAGAAGATATGACTTATTACATGTGGTGAGACAGTGAAGAACCTTCAATGTCAACAATAAGGGGTTGGAACTGTATTCTTTAGAGAGTTGGGTGCTATAAGACAGCTTTAGAAGGGTGAAGACAGGATCAGGTTTATGTTTTCAGAGGAGAAATGGCCATTTAACGGGGCTTTGTCAGACTTCCAGTTCCGGATGAAGACAGAAGAGATACACTTCTCTCCATTCTTCTTGCTAAGTACCATTAAAAACCATGGACATTATATATAAAGCAAGCATAAGAAAACTCTGAAAAGTGGAGAGAAGACAGATCAGTGAGGGACCTTGAGATCTAAGGAAAGACACGGTGGTCAGTTATCTGGGTTTGATTTTGGCTTCATATATCTCAGACTGGGTGCTGAAGAAGCCAGGAAATCCAGAAGCA